AAGTTTTCAGTTCTATTCCAATCTGTTCAGTCAATGGGTCTACTCTACAGAGCAGAAACACTTTGAGATACTACTTTATCTTCTCTGCCTAAAGTACTGGAAACATTTCTTAAAGAAGACTGGAAAATTCTCATCTTTTTTGAATACAATAATATTACCATTTTCTCCATTCGTACAAAGACAATTCTGAGATCTACAGAAAAATTCATTCTTATATACCTGCTTATCCAAGGTGAAACCTGCTGATTTTAATCTTAACTAAAAGAAAATGTTCTCTTCTAGTTTACTGAGTCTTAGTTACATTTTACATGCATGTTGACCACCTATAATAAAATGTCAATAAATATAATATCAATAGTACCTATCTGTCCTAGCATAATAAATAAGAATCCATACAGACATTGTGTAATACCCCAGTTATTAAAAGAACACATCATTTAAATGTCAATTAAAAAGAGTTAATAAGCAGTCCTAACCAAGATTCACAAAATCTAACTTTCTTGAGGGTTTTAGTTCCCAGGAAGCTCCTTTACCCTCCATTGAACAGTCAGCAATAAAGAAGAAAAATAAGTAAGCCCATGTTTTTATATTTAACTGGGAGGAATTTATATCCCCTACCTTCTGCTATGCACTTTAGAATTGTTATTCTATAACAGTAAAATTCAATTATAATTTTGCTAAGTCATTTCATTTCCCAATGATGTAATTCGTAGAAAATCAGACTTTTCAGCTTTAGTGTGTCCCACATACTGATCTGTCCCTGAAAACTGATTTTTCTTTTCTTCATTCCTTCCTCTGCCTTCCCTTTCAACTTTTCACTTACTAATATGTCTCATTCCTTCTTATTCTGCCTCCATCCTTCAGCAAATATATTTCTCTAGATGCCTTCTCTATAAAGCAAAAGCAAGTATAAATTTTTCTGCAGAGGAGCAAGTAAAGGAAGCATAGGAAAGCATAAAGAGTAAGATTTGAAACTAAAAAATGCCATCACATTAATAGTCACAGGTTTTCCAGTTCTTCCAAGTATGCTTAAACATCATAATGCTAATAAACCAGAGTTCATATTGCAAGTAATGCTTTTGAGCAAAAACAAAACATTAACATATTAAGGAAATAAGTGATCATATATCTCTAATGATGAATGAAACAAACATTTTTTAGTTACCTGTTTTCAAACTGTTGGCAATAATGATCTGTTGTACAGTTGTTCAATGGTAACTTAATTAGGCCTCCAAGAACGACTAAACAATACAGTACTGTATCTTTACATTAATGTCAGTTTAATAATTTTTTTAAAAAACTTAATAAGATCCTCTATCTTAAAAAAAAAACCAAATACAGAGAGATCATTCTTGATGTCAGAGATTAATGAGAAAATAATTATTCATATTTTCTAATGAACAACTTCGAAATACTTTTAGAACCCTGAGCTTTCAGAATGCCATAATTTGTCTATGTTGATTGGATCCACACACTTTCTAATGATTATATCATAGTCTCTAAAGAACAGACAGGGAGAAGTATTTATCACACATAATAGAAGTAAATTTTAAATTAATATATTTACTTTTAAAATAGTCAATATATATTTACTTTTAAAATAGTCAATATATTTTCTACTGGGAATATATATATTCAATATGTCATACTTTTTTTTAAAAAACCACTCTAATGGGATGTTTATATACTTAAATTGTATTTTCCATTTCTTTCTTTAAAATAATTTTTAAAATGTCATAGGCACATGATAAGCAAAATCAGAAACACATAGTCAGCTTTGGGTAATTTAAAAATTATTAACCTACCTTGCCAATAAAAGCTACCAGGACCACCAAGAAGTACTCGATCAGCCTAGAAGGAACCAAACAACAAAACATATATTGTAAAAAAGCTATAAAAACAGAAAAAAAGGTAACAAACACAAAGGGCATATACACGTGCATGTATATGTTCTATACAGTATGTAGTCACATGTCTATATACTAGATATATATACACACATATGTTAAAGCAAAAAAAACATAAACCTCAAATTCATCTAGTTCAGTTTCAGTGGTCTCCATTGTACCTTCTCTAAAATAAAATTTTTTTAAAGTTATATTCATTTAATATATGACAATAAGAAAACATACTTTTTGTTCCTGTGGATCTTTTCTGCCTCACATATTTGGAATAAGGTATTAGTGCAAAATATTGAGTTATAATTAAAAAAACACTTCTTAAATTTTGAATATTAGATTTGTAACTATATAAGGCAAACTTTCTTCCTAATAATCACTGAAGAATTTCCTACTGAAATAAAACTATTTTTAGTGTCTCATAGATCTAAACAGGACTGAAGTTAGAAAGTAAAATTTTCAGGGTGTTATTATACATATCTAAATTATGGGCTTGGCATCTATAGCTTAAGTGGTTAGGGCGCCAGCTACATACACCAGAGCTGGCGGGTTAGAATCCAGACTGGGCCTGCCAAACAACAGTGACAACTACAGCCAAAAAATAGCCAGGCACTGTGGTGGGTGCCTGTAGTCCCAGCTACTTGGGAGGCTGAGGCAAGAGAATTGTTTAAGCCAAAAAGTTGAGGTTGCTGTGAGCTATGACACTACAGCACTCTACCCAGGACAACAGCTTCAGACTCTGTCTTAAATAAATAAATAAATAAATAAATTATACTTCTGCAACATTTCTCATAGCTGTAACAAACTAAAACAGTCTAAGTTCAAGATATTTTTGGCTGAGTGCCTGTTGCTCAGTGGTTATGGTGCCAGCCACATACACTGGGCTGGAGGTCTGCCTTAAAATGACACCATCTTTCCTGAAATGGGTTTAACAAAATCAACAGCAAATTCAGCAATGACTTTCACGACCTGAGATTACTTCTAGGATTACAGCTGTACAGGCACAAGTACAAGAAATATATACATACATTTTTCTGAAAACAATAAAACAAAAGCACCTATCTGGAAATTTATCATGCATGTTTAAACCAAATATTTATTAATATACTTTATCTCTCTTTGTTTAGCTTCCTTAACCTTTAAATTATAAATAATAAGAAATTAAGTGTATTAAAAATCAACTGCCTGGAAAAGAGAGTTAAATATAATTATCAGTACCTAGCCTAGTAAAAATAAAGGTAAAACACAAATTTTTGAAAAATAAGGAAATGTTTTATTAATTTTTCTATATCATATGATTTTAGTTTCAGTTATTTTTATGAATTTAAGACACTCTTTGTTCACATTTCTAAGAAAATTACATTAAATTTTCTTTAAAAACTCTACTTTTAAACAAATAACATTATTTTCCTTCTCTAGAAGGAATTAATTTTCTCAAAATTAGATATTCAAAATGTTCATATATCCACTAAAAAATAAGTAAATAATATGTAAAAGAAAAGTACTTAAGAAAATTTACCTTCTAAAATATGAACAGAATCCTTATTTTTGAAAAAATGGGCAAAAACTATAAACTCTAAAGAGCATATTAGTTTAGTTAAAAATACATAGAGACCTTCATTTGAGATTTCTTTTTTTTTTTTTTT